TTTTGGTTTACTGTTTTCATAGGTAGCAACTATGCTGATAGCTTTCACTTGGCCTTTTCTCTTCATAATGGTTCTTGCTCCACACACTGGGAATAAAATTTGTTTTTTGTTTTTTTGGGGGAATAAAATTTGGGTATTCTGTCAGTTGTTTAGTATATTTACTATTTACACCCCAGAACTGTAAAATTGCCACAGCATGGGTAAGATGAACCAGACATAAAACTCATTGTTCACATGACCTCCATACTTTGACTAGTGAACCACAGTAAGATTTTCAATTTCCTGGGATTAGTGTTGGTTCAGGGTCAATGTCCAGTAGTCCCTGAAAGATTTTATTTTCCTCTTCCCAGTGCACATTTCCTCTGTTAAAATGCCACTGTTTCTCTTGGAAAAGCTAAGAAAAAGGTTAATATACATATTTGGGCAGTGTACAAGGGTCTTTCTTTAAGGAGACCAACTGCCTCTTCGTTCAAGTTTTAGGTTTGTAAATGAGTTCAACTCTGGGAATTGATGAGGAGCCATAAAATCTCTTGCTTTTATGATTCAAGTCTGACATTTGTTCTCTTGAGCTAGAAGTTTTCTCTTGTACAGATCAAGAAAGAATTCAGTAGATTTCCTGCTATGTTACTTGTACAAACACTAACCAATGCTGTAAGTCTAAATGAGTCAAATTATTATGATTGCTTCTCTGACTCTGCTATCCAGTAACTGTACCCACACTGTCTTTGGCAGTTGAGCACCACCATCTGCTTCCTACTATGCTGGCAACCAATTATTCCCATGACATATAGGTTTCCCAATTAATGACCAAAATTCCCACTGTATGATGCCACAGTAGAGAAGAGTGACCACAAGGCTCTTCATTGATATTAGGGCTCCCTTCAAACTTTATTTCTCATAGTCTTAGTGAAAGGTATGTTTTTAGGACACATAAATTAATCATAGCACATTTAAATAAACTCTCCTTTAATTTAACTGATGAGTAGAAATAACATCACAAAATTACAAGCTTTTAATTTGTTGCAGATGGAGGAAATAATCTAATACATTTCATAGCATTCCTTTAACTTGGAAAATAGTTCACTAGATACCAGCTTACAGAATAACATGTCAGACCTGTAGTACATGTCAAGGGCTGTTACCCTCTACTATTTTCACAAAGACTGTCTTACAATCACTTAGTTTGATGTAATGTTGTTTCTGTTTGTCCCTATCCTCACAAAATTATGACTTTAAAAGTTAATATATGAAGTTTGCATGAAAATGTTTCTTTTCAACCTCAGCTTTTAAGGTAGTATCACTCTCCATTAAAAGCTTTAAAAAAGAAAAATATATTAGATTTAATAGTTGTGTATTTATATTTATTTTAACATAAGTTTAATATGCATGTATGCTTTGTAAGGTAAATTCGTTTCTTTTCTCTAATTTTAATCTTTCCCTATCCATAACTTTTTCTTCTCCTAATTATAATAATGTCAATTTTTGAAAAATTATTTTATAACTTCAGTGAATAGAAGCTTACTATAAACCTTTAATTTTACAGATACTTGAGTGAAATATTTTAAATGTTTTTAAAAGGGCATTTAAAAATGCCTTTATTTTACTTTGCCAGTGAGCCAATGTTTTCTAATCATTGTTCAGGCTGTTCTGAATACCTGGAACATAATCCTTCTTCCTGTTATCAAGTTCATATCCCTTTTATTCCTGAAAGTTCTATTTAAGACATATATCTCAAATGTCATTGATAGCACTTCCCACTATTCTCTTTTTTTGAGATCTACAATGCTTTTATTTTTGTTCTGTATCTTTTCCTTTTAACATTTATTTTTATTAGTACATGTTTATAGTCCATAATGATTGCATGCATTGTGACTACATGCACTTGATACATGTACATAACACATCTTAATTCTTATGTCCCTAGTCTCTCTTTAGAATACTGCCATTTCAGGTTAAAACTTCCTTGAAATTTTCTCCTCTTTTACTTCCATAATACTATTTTGTTCTTATCCTTTTCCTGCATATATGAATTTTCTTTCTTTTGCCAACTTTTTTTTTCTAAATATGGCCATTTTCCAAGGTTTGGTGTCTCAATTTCCCTCTCTGTAAACTTCCCCTTGTGTAGTCTCTCAGAATCAGACTTCAACTCTGTGCTAATATCCATCAAACATCTTTCATGAATTCTGTTCTCTCACAATGGTATATAACTTCAGTATTTACTGAATATTTCTTAATGCTAGTTGCTATAACCTCAAACTTAATTATAAAACACTCATCAGAAGCTGGGAATGTAGCCCATTGGAAGAATGCCTGTCTAGCATATGCAAGGCCCTGAGTTTGATCCCCAGCACTAACAACAATAACAACAAAAACTTATCACTGGGGCTGGTGAGATGGCTCAATGGTCTAAAGCACCTACTTAGAACAAGCTTAGCAAAGCACAGGGACCGCGGTTCAATCTCCCAGCACCACATGCCAGCCAGCCCCGCCCCCTGGTGGGCTGAGCTGGACACACACACACACACACACACACACACAAAATTAAAAAAAAAAAACCTTATCACTAAAATGAGGTTTTTAATTAAAAACTATCATCAAAATTTAAAAAAAAGAATACATCTTTTCAAATGGGCTCGTCTTTCAAACATCTGTTCCACTCAGTGACATGAATAGGTATAATCTCCTCAGCTAAAATGAACCCCTGTAGCTCATCTCTTGTGTCAGGACAGATTAGTAGGATGCAGTGTGGCTCTGGATCAGATGGACGGAAATGTGGTGAGAGGACTTCCCTTACTTACTTAATTAATCCTTGATTAATTATTGTCTGAGCCTTGACCTGCATCTGAAAATAAGCTTATTATTTACTTCACAGGACTTTGAGGACCACAGGGTCAAAAGGCTGCATAAACAGAACGTGCTGGACAAGCAACAGCCCCTCTTACACCCAGCCAGTTACCGAAGTTCACCCAGGTATCCTTTCAAAGTCTCTCATGTGTATCCCAACTCCTCAGTCTAACTCTCAGACATTTCTAGATTACTTTATTTTTTTTTTAATTTGTTTTTTAAATTGTGTGTGTGTGTGTGTGTGTGTGTGTGTGTGTGTGGCCAGCTCAGCCCACCAGGGGGTGGCGCTGGCTAGCATGTGGTGCTGGGGGATTGAACCGCGGTCCCTGTGCTTTTAGTTTGTTCTAAGGAGGTGTTTTAGACCACTGAGCCATCTCACCAGCCCCCTAGATTACTTTAAAGACTTCTCTGCAGGCCACCTTAAACCTACCCTCTTCAATCCATTTTTTATTCTGTTGGCAAAAGAATCTTCTTTGGTTTTTTGTCTTTTTGAGTCAGGGTTTCACTATGCAGTTCAGGCTGGCTTTAAACTTAGAACAAAGCTCCAACCTTAGCCTCCAGAGTGCTAGAGTTACAGGTGTGCACCACCACCAGCAAGAATCTTCTTAAAATGTGTATTTTATCAAATTATAATCATACTAATAAAACTTTATTAGCTCTCTATGCCCTATCAGTCAAGGTTTAATCTATTTTCAAAGATACTTAGCCAGGTATGGTGGTATATGCCTAAAACCCCAGCATTTGCAAGGCTGAGTCTGGAAGACTGCCATGAGTTTGAGCCCAGCCTGGGCTACACAGTGAATTTGAGGCCAGCTTGAACTATCTAAGGACCCCCTGTCTCAAAAAAAATAAAAAACAGTTGTTCAAAGTCCACCCATTCAAATCTATGTCAGCTATTACAGGATATCCCATTGCAAATTGCTATCAGTAAACTGGTCTCTTAAATGTGCTACCCATACTCCAAGATGCTTCCTACCACCATGCTACTGTTAACGCTGTTCCTGCCCTCTCCTATAGGTGACGATCTCCTTTCATGAATGCTGGCTGTATTTAAACTCTGTACCAAGTACAACTTATATAACATACTGGCTTTTATTTCCTTCCAGTGTTTAATTTATATGCATCCTCTTCCCCTGTTTTGAGCTTATTTGTAACACCTCTGTCTACTATGGAATACTGCTATACAACCAAGCAGACAAAAATTTTGAGATGGATTAAATGAAGGGAGAAAATGCAAGAATTGCCACTGGATTTTTTTTTT